TGTTGAGTTTATGCAAGGCATGATAGGCAACGAGTGGCAGGCTCGAGTGTAAACAGTAGCAGGAGTGGTACTGGTCGTAGTGGTGGTAGTAGTCGTGGTAGTAGTAGTGCTAGTAGTAGAAGTATCATGACTATTGTCATGATTATTGTTGCTAGTGTTAGTATCGTAGTCGAAAACGTAGTCATAGTCGTAGTCGTAGTAGCGGTAGTAGTGGTAGTAGTAGTAGTAGCAGCAGCAGCAGCAGCAGGAGCAGCAGCAGGAGTAGTAGCAGTAGTACCACACACGCTCGTAGGAGGACTGTTGTTTTCATGCGTTTCGGAGCCGGTTTGCACGATAGCATGGGGGTGGGGGGTGGGGGTGGGGGGGGAGGATTATAACGTTCATGTCACTGCCTTTGGCGATCACGCGCACAACACTGGTATTTACAGCGCTTCTGCTTCTACATGCTAGTTTGCACGCTAGGGGTGGTTGGGGGGGTGGGGGGGTTGGGGGATGATGACGTTCTTTGTAGTGATGCTTGCGGTGATGTTTTCTTAGTCTGATGAGGTGGTGGGGGATGGGGTGGGGGGGAGGATAATGACGTTCATGTCACTGCCTTTGGCGATCATGCCCAAACCACTAGTATTTACAACATTTTTGTTTCTTTGTACAACGTAGTGCGCAAGGATGTGAAGCAAGACACGTTGTCACAAGCATCCGTGCCTTTGGCGACCATGCCCAAAACACTGGTCTTTGCAGCATTTTGACCTTTTCGTACAACATACTGTGCAAGTAGTGCTTTCCTTTGAAAACTGCGTAAGACGGCCGCAGCACAGGAAACATACCAAGCCTTCAAAAACTACTTCGTGATTTTTGACACCCGCAGCTGCTTAATGCGCATTTTTTGTCGGCCGTGGCAGCATTTTCGGCACGTCATGAGCCTAAACGCAAAGTCTTTTGCTCTTCGTGGCAGCCGAAACCACCGTAATGGTGCTCAAGTCTGATGACTGTGTTCGGTTTGAAACGCGTCAAAGCACCAGTCCTCCTGCGAGCGTGTGTCTTAGTAGTAGTAGTAGCAGCAGTAGTAGTAGTAGTAGCAGTAGTAGTAGTAGTAGTGGTAGTAGTGGTAGTAGTGGTAGTAGTGGTAGTGGTAGTAGTATTAGTAGCAGTAGTAGTAGTAGTAGTAGTAGCAGCAGTAGTGGTAGTAGTGGTGGGACGAGGAATTAGTAGCAGTGGAGGTCGAAGAGGTTAGTCGTCCTCGTAGAAGTAGCGGCGGTGGTGGCAGCTGTAGCAGCGCAACTGGTCTGCGGCCGTTGTAGAAATCGTGGTCTTTGTCGCTGTCGTAGTAGTGGAGGTGATCAGATAGCCCAATGAGGAGGAGGCATTGCCGTTTCATTTTTTGTTGAGGTTGTTGTGGTTGTCATTTTCGTTGTGGTCGTCGTGGTGGTTGTGTGTGCGGTTGTGGTCCGTTGTGGTTGTGGTTGTCGTTGCTGTTCTTCGCATTATTCTAGTTCTTCTTGTTCTTCTGCTTCTTCTTGCTGTTATTAGTCTTGTTATTGTTATTCTTCTCGTCGTTATTACCACAGTTATTGTTCTTGGTATTCTTCTTGTTCCATGTCTTGCTCCTCTTCTAGTTTTCTAGTTGTTCTTATTGTTATTCTCCTTGTTATTCTTATTGCTATTCTTTCTGTTATTGTTCTTTGTTTGTGATTCCTGTTGTTCTTCGTGTTGTTGTTGCTGTTGCTGTTGCCGCGCTGTTTCTGTTGCTGCCGTTGTTGCTTTTGTCGTCGTCGTGGTGCTGTGTCCGTTCCTGGTGCCGTGGTCAGGGTGTGTCCGGTTCTGTCGGACAGGCAAAAAATTGCATTGCCTCAAGCTTCATGCAAGCTGTGGTGCTTCATCTTTCCATAGCTTGAACAGTGCTTTTGATGCAGGCTTGCGAATCTTAGCAGTTGCTCGGCGGCAAGTACGACCTGTTCAGGTTCAGCGTCAGAGAGACAATGAAAGCCAAGACACAAGCAATCACTACCATATTAGAGTAATAACGAGCTATCATCTTCGTCGTGGTCGTTGGTATCATGAGCATCATCACGACAAGCTGTGATTGAGTCGTCAGTTGCAGTGTTATCTGGTCCCAGGTATCGAAAGTGAGTAGAGCATGGCATGTATCAACTACAGCATTGAACATTTTATATATGACCGCCGTTGCAGCTGCTCGAGGGATAAGAAGAACTGCAAGTTATCTTGCGTTTCTTTACTAAGCTGTTGCTACTGGGCACTGGCATCATGCTCACTTTGAAAGCCGTCCGCGCTTGCGATGGCAGAGAACGTCCTGATGATAAAGACTTGGGAGCACTCGTGTGCGATGATCGTGAGGGTGGTGCTACGTAGTTACGGTCACCGCCTTGCGCAGGTTTCATAGCTGTTTCATCGAAGTAAGGAACCGGAAGCGTACATGGAAGGTTGCAAGGCATCGCTTTTGTATTCCCACCATCATATAGTATTGTTCTAGGTTTACCATCCTTATTAATGCTTTTGCAAGTGCTATTGCTGTCGAAAATGATCTGACTTTCAGGCTGCCCAGCGAACCGTTGAACAAGCCTCACAGAAGTCCATGTGGATTTTGTTGACGGAATGGTCTTCTCGAAACTGAGGGCATGATTATGAGCATGTTTCGCATGATGCGGCTACTTCCCATTCACACCCGCAGTTTGTCTGCTCAAGGGCACCGCAATATGGGGGACTTAATAATTTCCGGTTCCTTATTATATTTATAGCATAATGGGCCCCCAAACTTGATTCTACTCATTAAAGCCCGCATATTAGTTCGCATTTCGTTAGACATCCCCTGCATTAGGTGCCCGCAAATCTGTTTACGGTTTCTGTGCTCCCACACGCTCGCACCCCGAGCGTATCCCGAATTCGTACATGTTCGTGCGCAGGTTGCAGCTGCAGCAAGTCTTGCTGATGTACTTTCGCAAAGTTGCGATTTGCTTTGTCCGAATACTTTTCGTGCACGATATAGTTTACCGTATACCTCCCTGAATGAACCTCTCGCCAGATTCAACCACCCGTGTCAGCAATTGCCTAGGAGAGAACTGCTGCTGCACTGCTGTCCGAGCGGACTCGACCACCATCGCCGTGCCGGCAGGCCACAGGAAGGGCAATAGTCTTTAGAGTTTTAGGGTTTAGGGTTTAGGGGTTTAGGGTTAGGGTCTTGGGTTCAGGGTTATCCAAGGATGCTCCAAGCGCCGGCGCTCTGGCACATGGCGACAGGTCCTGTACCACTACTGAAATCTGGCCTCCCTCGGGCACACATGTCTATACTTCAACCACAAGATCCGTACTGCAGCACAACTAGAACCAGTGCGCCACGACCACGACCCCCTATGCTAAGGGCTGCTTGGGCGCGGTTTTTTGAGGGACCTTAGACTGCAGCTGCACGCGGCTTTTGGGGCACTTTGTCTTGCTGAGTTGGAACGGCTCCAGAAGAAAGTCCACATAGGAGAAACCCGAAGTTTTCGAAAAAGATCCCCGATTCTGTTGAGGATCCGGATGTCAAAAATCCTGCGGACAAGCCGGACGATGCACCAAACTGCAATGCCAAGTGTAGATGCTGCTTCTCAGCATAGAAGCCCTAAGCCGTTCATGGCCGGTCACCCTCGACATTAGCATCGCCGTGGCTTGAGCCCCGGATCCCAAGGCCCCATCGTCAGACCTGGAGAAATCGACGGCATAGACTTGAGCTGCGAAGTCGACTTTCTTGAAGCACGGCTCTGCAACCACGGGACAAACTGAGGGGATGAGGGCCTTTGGCTTCTTGTCTTGCGGAAATTTCGTCAGAAGTTGAAAGCCGGAAACCAAGCACTGAACCCTGGCACCCAAGACCTTCGCATCTTCAATCAGAGAATCTTAACCGCCCTGATCCATCTGAAGATGCGGCTCGGGTGTTTGGACAGTTCATGTTTAAAGTTATCCACATCCTAAACCCTGAACCCTAGTCCTGCAGTTTATCTAACTGCGTGCTGCTTTTGGTAGAGGCTGGGTCGAGGGTGGGCTGGCTTTGGCCCTCTGAACTAAATCTTAAAAACGCTGAAGCCCTGGACTTGCAGCTAAAGCCTCGCCGTTCAACACTCCTGTCTCCGATATCCTTGGGGATGTGAGCCTTCGTGTCAGATGTTCAAACACACAGCTTAAATTCCTAGTGCTTCGGGCTTATGATTACGGGTTATATGTCAACACCGGGATCCCGTTTGACAGTACTCGAATCGACTTGTCGGTTCGATTCCGCAAAAATACGCGTGCAGCCAACTTTTGACGGGGAAGCTGCAATGCTAAGCATCACGGCCGCAGGCTTTGCGGAGCAATGCATGGCATGTAGAAATTGGTGTGTCGAAGACTAACAAAACACGAACGTAAGGATCGGAAAGTACTAACAGCATGGATGCGCAACCACGAACCTCGAAAGCCAACGCTCGGAGTTGGCAAGTCCACGACCGGGCTTGGGGGATGCGGAATGGTACGGAACGTGCATGTCCGGTCGAGTTCGGGACTGATTTCTGAGTTCATGCGTCAAGTTTCACCGACCTTTTGTAACGAGAGAGTCAGCTCGACTACTGGAAAGCAACTGTGACAGCGAGTCGTGGCCTACCCGGATCCTGAAGCAAGATTGCCCTTGTCCCGTATTGCAATTACGATTTGCGAAAGCATGCGTCTGCGTTCGAACTTGAGGAAGCTAAGTGGTTGCCGCAGGGGGTCGTGGCTATACGGCATGCAAACATCGGTTGAGGTGCATTTCGTCGTAGAACGGTTTGTGGCCGCCAGCGACGCCGCCCTGACTCGGCCAATCGTAGCTAGCGCCAAGCATCTTCTCGGATCGGAACCATGGCGCTGCATACTTGCGAGGATCCCGGCTTCGATTTGTGTGCTTATGCTCAGTGCAGTAGCATGGACAAGATACCGAGCGAGCGGCGTCAGAGGGGTGATGACCAACATCGGGGTTTCAGTTTGAAAATGTCAAGACCATGCTACCCTACAGTCCAGACCCTGGTTGCGAAAGTTACCAGTACCGAAACTCAAAAGCGAAGGCCCCTCAACTGCTCAGAGCGCTGGCGCAGGCCGGGCTTTAGTTGGATGTATGGAATTGAACGTGAATTCTGGTGTTATCCACTGTGTGCTGTGCACAGGCGCATGCCCCGCCGCGCTTGATCTGTATCGGCGGCTACAACTCAAACTGGAATAGGCCGGGTCGTTTGCTTGTGGAGTCCAAGAGTTCAAGAGGGTCGTCGGATGGATGTTCAGCCAAGAAGCAATCACCATGATCCGAGCTCTGCAGAACCCGTTGTAGAGTTGTTGAGTTCAGGCGCAGTTCTTGGAAACGACAATGAGGGAACACCCATTTCGCAAACAGGTACCGTCGTTTCGGGTTGATCGGAAGAGGATGCAGTCCAAGCTTAAGCAATCGACTGGGTTGTGCCAGGCATGAGCCCGTGACACAAGACGCAGCAGCCCGACTGCCGAGGGGTTTTATTGGCCTGAGTCGGTAAGTCAGTGGGCAAGTAAGTAAGACATGCTTCCTTCCGTTTTGATGGGGATGCGTTTTGTTGTCTGGGACCTGGCGTCATTGTAAATGTGAGTTTGGTTGAGTGACCTCGCAGCGGCGGCTTGCAGAGCATGACCTCACTAAGGCCTGGTTGCCGACTAAGACGTCGCTTTTGTTTCGTGAAGAAGATCATATGGCAAGGCTTCCATAGTTCTATCGACCACAGCGTGAACATGAGTGGCTGATGCCCACTTGCTCGAACCAGCCAAGGACGCCAACGGCTGCGAGACATCGGCAGAAGTAGTTTGTTCACTCACAGGCCAGTGTGGTTAGAGGACCAAAGCTAAGCCAGCTTGCCTGCAGGGACGACGGCCCATGCTGGAACCTCCCATCGTACATGTATGGGTCTGGCAGCAACTTGTTTAGTGGCAGTGGCTTTTGGCCCAGTGGCACAGGTGACTCTGTCAGCAGTCGCTGGCGTTGTATGCTGCCTCCGATGCAGCATCATCGAGCTGACCTCGCTGCTCTTCGGCTAACGACTAACGATTAAGGATATGGCAAACAACAACTCGAGAAAGCCAACATGCAATTGTTACGATGATTTGGAGACGATGCTTGTGATGCTCGTGGGATGAGACTGATAATCACAGCGCCTCTGGGACGAGGATGCGGACGACGATGAGTATAGGATGCTGGTGATGATGTCATCGTTTGCATCACCGGAAAGTGTCGTCGTCATTGTGCTAACACAAAAAACTCTTCTTTGCCTATGTCCACTGCTATGGTTGTCTTCACCAGCACCATCATCACAATCGCCGTCATCATCAACAACATCGTCAGAAGTGTTGTGCGTGCTTTTGCAGCTGTTTTCATCTGCAACGATACGCTGCTGCACCTCTTGGTTCGAGAGCCTGGGTTTGAGGTCATGGGTTCTGCCAGGATAGAGCCACCAGCCAGAGCTTGCAGTCCTGATGCTCTGTCGCAGACGTGCCCCGAGGCCGTGAAAAAAGACAGAGGCTCAAGGCGTTTATCCAGTTCTGCGGATTTCTGTGGCGCAAGACCTGCCCATGCATGTGCTGGGATGCATGTGCGAAGCGGGGTGTCCGTCAGAAGGGGACAGCAGGACGCATCCGAACGGCAGCAAGACCTTCTCGCGGCTGACGGTGCCACAATCGTACCTGCAGCCGCCAAAGCAAACGCTTTATGCTGCTTCGAGGGAGAGATTGACGGGTTGGGCAACCCCAAGCCCTGGATCCGTACTAGGACAGAAGACGAAGTACAGCCGAAGACTGTGGCTCTACAGTGTGATTACCCTGAACTGCCATAAACCCACGACCTGAATTCCCAAGCCTTTACTATAGGGGCCGGCCGCCTCAATAATTACCAGTGTCATTGTGGGGGGGGGGGTTCAAATTATTGTGATTGTAGTATTATATTTACCACCAAACATAGTCTTATTATTGAGGCCCCTATATTAGACAACCCTAGACCCTGGATCCTAAACCCTTCAGACGGAAAAAGGCGTTCAACAAAACACAACTTTACTTACTTTTGCTTAGTAGGGAATGGAGGAATGGGGTACAAGTATAACTACTATTACTACCATTCTTCCATTCCCTACTAACCAAAGGTAAGACTACCCCTATAGATCCCATTATAAGGAACCCCTATAGATCCCTTGAAGGAGCCCTATAGATCCCTTTAAGGAACCATTCCCTACTAACCAAAGGCAAGATTATAGGATTATTAAGGCACCTATATTATAGTACCCCTATAGATCCCTTATAGTAAGCCTTATAGGCCCCATTCTTCCATTCCCGAAGTTTAGACAAGGTTGCCTCAGGCGGCTTGGCCTCAATGACGCTTTTCGCCTTGGGAGGCCTCTAAGGGGGGGGGTTGAGAAGGGTGCCTTGGGAGTTTAGGACTTTCCGAGCTTTTAAGGGTTTAGGGTTTAGGGTTCAGGGTTCAGGGTTTAGGGTTTGGGGACTTTTCAAGCTTTCAAGGTTTAGGGGCTTATTCGGGGGTTTGATTGCTTATGGTTTAAGTTTCTGGATCCAGGACGGGCTCCCTCATATTAGTTTAGGAGCTCATGCATGCGAAGATCCGCAATAAGCATTCGAAGCTTTTACTCCTCCTCATCCCATGCCTTCCTGGTTTTTACCTCGTATCTGCCCTGTCTACCTCTAGTCCTCCGATGCTGAGCATGGAGCCTTGCAAGGGCGCCACGGGGAATCGAGACATGTCTCTGTGGAGAGGAAGCTCGGCCAATATCGAATTGTGGTGGAATTCTGGGGGACACATTCGTGTTTTCTGAATTTTTCTGGTTTCCATGATTCGGATTTTTTTTGCATGCATCCCTCACGGCCCATGATCCAGGAGACACCATCCAACGTTCGGTTTCCTGCATGCCCTGTCAGAAGCCGGGTTGGCATGTGCTTCAAGCAGTATGGTTGGGCACGCTGCTAGCAGATCTTGCTTCCCGGAGGGCAAGTGCCCTTATCTAGGTACCCAGCTTGTTTCAGGGATGGGCCAGCAGACAACTCCGACCATTCCGGGTTCTGACAGCATGCAGTCTTCGGCTGGCCTGCCGAAATTTAGCTTGAAATCTCACCAATCTGAAACCCTGCAGTCCGAAGTGCGGTGTCAACAGGTTGGACCTCCTCAGCTGGCAGCTCCGTGGCGAGGGCTGGCAACCAATGTGCGGCGCACGGCTTCCGTGTTGTCGACGTAATTTTCTGGCAAAATACAATATACGGCTAGCATCAGCTGCACCAGCAGGAAGACAACGAGGACGACATTCGCGACGACGACGGCACTGACGACGAAAATGAACAAGGACTACCACCGCTGCAACGACAACAGCAACAGCAGCGGCAGCAGCCAGCAGCAGCAGGAGCCACAACAGCAGCAACAATAACAGCAACAGCCACCACCGACGACGGCGACGACGACTGCTGCTGCTGCTACTCCTGCTCCTGCCGCTGCCACTCCTACTACTGCTACTGCTACTGCTACTGCTACTGCTACTGCTACTGCTACTACTACTACTACTACTACTACTACTACTACTACTACTACTACTGCTACTACTACTACTACTACTACTACTACTACGACTCTCACTCCTAATCCCACTCTCACTCTCGCTCCCACTCCTACTCCTCCACTCTTACTCCTGTTACTGCTGTTCCTTGTCGAGGCTTGAGTCCGGCCGCTTGTGAGCTTGAGCTTGGGTTTGAAGTCGGTCCACGCTCACGCAAGGCCACCGATGCTTCATGGCCGATCAGGGCTGGCCGCCCGGGGCACAGGAGTCGAGAGTCGAGTTGTCTGCCAGTGAAGCAGTCGGGAGGGGAATGGGGCAGAGACGGCCGACTTTGTCTTGCACGCGCAAACATGTCCTGGAACGTCGTGAAATATCAGGTGCCCGAAAATTATTCTTCGCCGCTTGAAACATGCAAGCTGCGACGATCCGGCTCCCTTCACAACAGTCGACATGCTGCTTTCGAGCATTTTTGGAAGCCTTGCTCACTACGGCCAAGGCAGCCGTCCTTGGCGACGGCCTCATCGTGGCCGGGCCGCATTTAGAGGCTTGCTCTTGGGGGTTCTTTGTTCCTGGTCTCCAATATTCAGGGTTGGCTTTCTGAAACTCCCATGTTGTAAGATTTGTGCCAAGCGGACCGCGGGGAACGGCCTCGGCAAGTGCTGCAGGTTGGGGCTGCGAGGTTCTTAGCAGCACACCAAGGGTTTAGTGTGTCTCCGTTAGTCTTGAAGCCAACGCTCGTTGCTGGCTTAGGTGGTTGTAGAGCACCCGATGCATGAATATGCTTCCACGCGAAATTCTGCGCAGTGCCCTAGCCTTGTCATGCGAAGGCACTAAGATCCTTACTGCGCCGGCCTAGGTAGCAGGCGGCCGTGGACACCATGGAGTGCTAAGGCACGGCCTGCTGAAACAAAGCAAGAGACTCATGCGACTCTTGCTGCTGATATCACGATGATGACCCTTCAGGCTGCACGCCGACAACAGCAGCTTGCTACTGCCGCTACTGCTGCTACTGCTCTAGTACTACTGCTACAACAACAACAACTACTACTACTACTACTACTACTACTACTACTACTACTACTACTACTACTACTACTGCTACTGCTACTGCTACTACTACTACTACTACTACTACTACTACTACTCCTGCTGTACCACTAGTCGTACTAGTGCTAAGACGAGTACATACTACTCACAGGCGACGCCGATGACCATTACTAGCAATACTATCATGACTACAATAACTACCACTGTTACTGCGACTACTGCTACAGCTACTGCTATGATGGCGGCGATTATGCATACCGCGATTGACTACATGGGTCATCGGGACGATAGGTCATTGCGACGATGAATGGAAAAAGAGCACGAGAAGTGTGAGATCATCTGGCTTCGGTGGGCCTGCTGCAGCTGATGGCCATTGCGTTGTTGTCGTTGCCGTTGCTGGTTGTGCTGGTGGTGATGATGTCAGTGATTATGATGGCAACGGTCAGGATGATGCTAGCTATGTTTCTTCGTATCGTCTTCAACATGTAGCACTTGCCTTCAGAACAGCTTTAATCTTGCCAGTCAATGAATTGGATACGTTCATCTTGCGCTTTCAACAAAACCAGTTTTTCACACCAATCCAGCGTGCATTGCTCTGGGAAGGCGATTCCGAAAGCTGTTTCTCGAGAAAACATCTGCGGGTTGCCAGGTTCTGTATTTATGTTGGTTCAGCGCTGGTAGCCCTTCCCAAAATTCCGATACTAACCCAGGTCCTGAAGACCCGCGAAGTGCCAAAGGTTAGATCCTGTAGCTTTCAACCCCTTCTCACACCAGGGAGGTGGAATATTGCAGCTTCGCCGGTGAGAGCTTCACAGCCTTGCCGCCTTTGGCTGAACCACGCACGGGCCTCGGAGATGAACGCTTTATCCTCGCTGCAAGAAATGAGATGGTCTAGATTAGGAGTTGTAATACAGAAGACGGGAATACTTGAGCAAAGGAGAGTAGAAGAGTAGAGTCATGCTGCATTATATATCATGGCCATATGTCAAGGTCAGGTATAGTATCCTTCTATAGAGTAGAGGTAGAGATGAAGGTAGAGGAAGTATTGCTTCGCTGCTTCATTGACGAACATCGTAGAATGTAGCTACTACTACTACTACCACCACCACCACCACCACCGCGACTCTACTACTACTGCTACTACTACGACTACTCCTACTACTCCTACTCCTACTGCTGCCTGCTCCTGCTAGTGCTCCTGCTTCTGCTCCTCCTGCTCCTGCTACTGCTGCCTCCTCGTGCATCGGCTACTGCTACTGCCACTGCTGCTTCTACAAAAAACGTTCTTCACCGCTCCGAGGCGCGGGAAGTTTGCGTCACAGGGATGTAAACTCTGGAGATGGTAATGGCAAGCTTACTGGGATGTCTGGTTAGTTTGAAGTCCCTAGCGCGTAGGACTAGTACGATCAGCCACCTTTGCGGATACTCGTATGGCCAGGGCATGGCGGCAACTGTGACTTTGTCAGTGGTGGCAACGGTGTCAAAGCAGTTTTTCCCGTCCGGCTTTGGAGCCGGTCGTTTCAGACGCAAGCCCCTTGATAATTCTGCCCCCTGCGAGGAGAGTATGCAGCGGCTACCACCATCGGCTCAGAATTTTGGGTGCCAGATGGACAGGGAAGGGTGGACTGCATTGTAGAGTTCGTTGTTGTTGAAGACTGAGGTGTCGGGGGGGTCTCTTGCTGCAAAAACGAGGTGCACTAAGCCTAGACTGAGGGAGACTGCTTAGTGGACCCGGAAGTTTTGGATAGGTCGATCGGGTTAGACCGGCAATATGGTGTTTCCCTCCACCTTGGTAATCCATGGCACTTGAGTGCTTTCAGCTGTTGGATTGTGATAGAAGCCATGGCTGTGTCAGTCAGGCTCCAAGCTAGAGCTGTTTCCTCGACAGTGGAACTACGCAGGGAATTTGCCAAACCCGGCTTCTTTTCTCGTTGCCTGCGAGTGCACAGGATGGTTACGTGTACCGGTGTTCTCAGAGTCCAATGCACGACATACATATCATATGCCTGCAAACAGTGAAGGTGCTGGGTGGTGGCGAGACAGGTCGGAGTAGTTCGGTGGAAATCTGGGACGCTGAAGTTGGAAGTTGGCGTACTGGACCTGAGCTCAGGCCTGGACACGTCATCCGTCATCCGTTCCACCATGGGAGTTAAACGTAGGATCTCCGGGAAAGGAGCGATGGTTTCCCGATCTTCTGTTCATTGGTGTCTTCGCCTGCAAGGGAACGCCGATATGGTGCAAGTGCCGCGTGGCATGATGGCCGAGTGATTGTCGTCGCTGGGCTCTGAAGGAAGACACTTCTTGGGACTGGGCATGGGGATGTGGAAAACTCGGTCGATGCATGCAGCTTACTGCCTAGAGAATCGGCCTTGAACCAGATTGGCAGGCAACTGATTTTGGGCTCTTTTCTTTTTTGCTGGGCTTGATCTTCTGCTTGTGCCTCAAACTGTGCGTGCATCTCTTACCCGTGTTGGATCGGTTCATACTCCACGCCTCTGACTTAGGACTTCTTGCACCCTGCTCAGACAGGATTCTAAATAAGGGCTGTTGCCATGGTATACCGGCCTAAGATAAGGTTTCAGAAACATTGCGGACCCCATGGCCCCAAAGACCAGATGTAGACCATCGCTTTGTAGTTGAGTGAGTAGAGACCATGGTCAGTTGCCGAGTTGCAAGAAAGTACAGGTCAATGACTACGATGACAAGGAACTGGGAAGAGCATGGGACGAGAAGTTATGTCGAGCAAAGAACAGACCATGCCAATGTGGCCTTTGCTTACAAGGTGTTCAATCCTGGGCTCGAGGTGGAACTCATCGGGCGCTTGCCCGGGTAGGCTGAGGACCCGAAATCATCCGAAGTACAATCTCAAGCTTCACACAAGGAACATCAAACTCAATCCTAATCGGGGATCTAGCCGATCACCTGTGGCTCCCCCAGGTCGGAGGCACCCATCATTTCAGTGCCTCGCTTTGCACTTTGAGGGGACAGGGCTACTGTGGAAGACTCGACGGCTACAGTGCGCCGGGAAGCTTCCATGCAGAACATTTGGCGCAACCTAGCAGTGCGACAGCCCGCGCTCGCACTAGCGGCAGGAGTAGTGGTATTAGAGGTTCTGGTGGTGGTGGTGGTGGTGGTGGTGGTGGTGGTGGTGGTGGTGGTGGTGGTGGTGGTGGTGGTGGTGGTAGTGATACATAACAGTGGTAGTAGCGGCAGTAGTCGTCGTCGACGTAGTGGTGGTAGTAGTAGTAATAAGCATAACAACAATACTGTGAATCGTAGTAGTCATGATGGTGGCAACGGTAGAATCCTGGATGGTTGCAGGCTGTCAAATAGTATCGTGAGTCACAAAGCCACCACAAGCACAAGCCCGATTCTCGGAAAGTACTGGTAGCAAACCAACCAGCAGGGAAGGATTTTTTCTTCTGAGTGCTTGTCTTGCTGGATCCTGGCTTTCTACCCTGGGTCGGAGACGGGCCGGGTGATTGTTGGAGAATCGGTGTCTATCCGCGCCTGATGGTGTTCGTGATGATCTGCGAGCGGGGGTTTCAACATTCGAGCAAAATCTCTGGCTCTCTCTGTATATATGTACATGTATACATACACATATGTATGCATATGTATACTTATATTACATTACACTCGTATACTTCAATATATATATATATATATATGTATATGTATATATATATATGTATTTATATGTGTGTGTATATATATAGGTCCTCAACCGAAGCCCATTTAGATTTCGGGCTCCTGGAGTCGAAGGAAAGCGCAAGCTCACGACGTTGGAGTGCCTGGATCCACGAGAGGGACTTTGGCAGTCCTACGACCTGAAGGCGCATGAGAAGCTCGAGCCTAGCCATGTCACCACAAGCACACACACACACACACACATTCAAAATCTCCAACAAGTGCGGAGCACTGCTGAGTTCTGGATGTTTGGAGGAAACAGGGCAGGTTGCTGCACCACATGTGGCAGAGTGCACACACTTGCGACGAAAATACCGCATTCTCGCAAAAGACCTGCTTGCGCCCGTCCGCCCCGGACGCGCAATTGATTGTGCGATCTGATGCTTTGGAGTTTTGTTGCGCTTCAATCGCTCGAAGTGTCACAGGTCCTGGAGACCTCTCGGGCTCGTCCGTGTTGTCTCGAGTTTGCTGTCATGGGCGTCAAATCGATCGCTGTGTCAACCCTGCAGGGCCACGCTTGGGCTCTTCGCTCACTGGTGCTATTTCAGCCGCCGTTGTATGGGGTGTTGAGGGGCGTGTTTCTGGGATGCGGCCTTATCGTCCTCTTCAGGCGTCTCTGCTAGCAAATACATATATGCACATACATACCTACGTACACACGTACGTACGTACATGCCTGTGCGTTGGCAGATGCATACATAAAATGCACACACATACACAAGCATGAACTCTTTTTCTGTTTCTGTTTTCACCTGGCTAGCTGGCTAGTTACCTACCTGCGTACATACTTACACACTTGCCAAGCTACATACCTACGTACCCGCATGCATGCCTAGAGACATACATACGTACATGCATATGTGCATGCATACATACATGCATACATTATCCATCCGTCCATCCATCCATACATACGTACATACATACGCACATACATGCATACACATGTGCGCATGTATCGCACATGCACACATACACATTTGCACAACATATACACATGTACTCATACACACGTTCACATACATGCTGCATTTACATGTATACGCATATGCACATCATGCATATCGATAACGTTTACATATTCCGTCATGTAACGCAAACGAGTCCGGGCGGTGGACGCGAGCATAGCGAATGCCAGCAACTCTGTACGGAAGCCACAAGACAGTCGCGCATCGGGCGGGCGTTTCTGCAAGGGAAACGACGAATGGTCGACAGTCCGAAAAGCCCACGGCATCTTTCAAACACCAGGCAAGTGGATGCCACTCCTGTCGAGGTTTGGAGTTTCAACGTCAGGCTTTACATGCATCCTCTGCAAGGTTCGACCTTTGCCCGCACAACAGCACTGTCAAACTTCAGGAGTGTAGTTCTCGAAACCTGGCGGCAACAACAGCATCAACGACAGTGATCACGGTGAAACACACGAAGATGGGGAGATAGAACTGACGGTGGTGATCACGATGACGGTGATGCAGATAATGTTCAGAGGCTCGGGATCTTCATCTAGACATCAGCATGATCGCCACCGAGAGGCACGAATCATCATTGATTCAGAAAACTTTCGCTTTCACCACTCAATAGGCATGTAAATGCTCCTGCAAGCTCGGACATACCAAACCGGCCATGAGCGTCTTTTTCTGACTTGGCTGCCGAAAAAGTCCCCGGCTGGAACATGCCTTCTTGCATGCAGCGAAGTCCGGGTGCCCTCTCTGACAGTGACTTGAATTCTCTGCAGGCGTTGGACGGTCCTGGATACCAGTCGAGGCCTCAGAAAGTCATAGAGGAGCTCAGGTCGATGTGAAAATTGGCGATTCGTCAAAACAGCCGGTGCGCAGTAGCAGGAGCATAAACATTAGCAGTAGGAGTAGGTTCATGGCAGCAGTAAAGGCTGCAGCCTGTCTGCTGTCCCTGCGGATTTTTTCACGGTTGAAGGGTTGAAGCAAGTCGGTGCCCGGCTTTGGGATGCGAAGGGACAGGCCACGGAGCTGCATCATCAGGATCTCCCGTGCGAGTGAGCTCAAAGCATCAAAATACCATGAGCCATGGGCCTTCCACCCTGAGGTCGTCTCTTTGGGGGTGCGGGGTTGCAGCTTATGCTACTCGGCTTTAACATGAGCCCAGTGAGGTGCAATGCATTGCATCATATGCCACTATGGTCCTCCTAAGCCCACCCCTGCAGCATCCAAAGCCGAACTCAACAGAGCTTGGGATGCCAAGGGTTTGTAGAGGTTCTGGAGGTCAGAGTATGGTTCAGGACACCGGCGCACTTTGAGGGCAGCTCTTCCTTTGGACGTTGACGAAGTACGAACCTGGTTCATTTCCCGCTGCACTTCTGCATGGTTGGGGGGGGTTCATGAACTGAACACTCAGCTCGCATCCAGTGGCTTCCGTAGTCAACGAGACCTTGATGATGCTATTTAGAACTGCCGACACAGCAGCAGGGCTGAGATTTCCTTGGAATCAGGAAGACGATACACACTGGCAATTCAGAGATGCATTAAAGCCCCTGAGACAGACGGCCGGTGTAGGGTTTAGGGTTGAGGGGCTTTAATGCTTCTTTGAGAAACCCCCTTTTTTTCTGCAGCCAAGGCGAACTCGCTGTTTATCGCTGGCGGTGCGTTTCGGGAGTCAGAAGAGTCCCTGAGTGCCATCTACAGCCTTGACCTGCGCCCTGGCTCAAGATGGACCCATATGGGAGTTTCCGACAATAGGGGTACCTTATTTAGGGGTCCTTATAATAAGGATTATACTATTTGGCGTACTATATTAGGGTCCCCTATTTTCGGAAACTCCCATATGAACCCTAAACCCTAAACCCTGGCTCAAGATGGGGTTTATTGGGGCTCAAGCTGGGGTTTGGGGTCATTACCCTTCAACCCTAAATCGCGAAAAAGGTTCTAAAAAAAGAGCTTTCAACCCTAATTGAAGCTGAAGCTTGAATTCCTGCTAAGCTGGTTGGCGTAGATGCATGACTCGAGCTCGGCGATTCCAGTGGGCCCGTGATTTTAGAATACATTCAAGCTATTTCATCCTGCCTAAGTTACTCACGCATAGCTTTGAGGCAGAGGTTCCCGCCAAAGGCTTCCAATAGGGCACCACGGATGGTCAGTGTGGCAGGAGAAGACAGCTTGTCATGTCGGCAAGAAGGACGACTCCATGCGTAGGAGGTTCTTGCAAAGCCCATTAGCCCCAACACTCACTTCAGCTCCGCTATGCTTTCGACCTGAGATCCGACACCCCTGGTGACTTCAGCCAAACCCTATTTCGCCTCAAGCCCACCCTGAAGCTAAAACTCCAAAGCTTGAGAATCTCACAGCTAAGGCGCACCTTTGACCTCCGCCCCCTGGGATCCGTGATTGCAGGCGTTAGCGGGACAAATCGAAGAAGGGACATGGGATAACGATAGACATGTAGATAGGCTTTCTGCCGTCAATGACATCTTGGGAGCAGGGTTGTTTCGCATGTATCGCCATTACGGTGCAATTGTCAACATGGTAGCGTGCTTCGAGTCGGAGCTTGAGAAAGTACAGTGACCCGATACAGGCCCACGTAGTGGGATCAGCGAAACGGCTCCCTAACTTAGGTTCAGTACCCCTAAGGC